AGGTGTATGTGGAGGAGTGGGGCCTAACGAAGGACATTTGGAGAAGAGATACAGAGGTAGAGCATTGACGGAATGGGGAGGTGTGGTGTTATCTGCTGAAGATATTTTGATCAACGGGTCTGGGGAGAAATGTGCACATATCGAAATGGTCTCATTGTAAGCCAAACAATATGATTGAAAGTATATACAAAATATAAAATAAATTAAAAAAAGAACATTTCATCCAATGACTGTGGAATACACAATTTTCTCATCTGCACATGGATAATTTCCTAAGGAGGCCACATGTTAGCCTACAATAACAAAAATTTGATAACATTTAAAATATGGAAATTATATTGAATATTTTCGCTGACTAAAATGGAATAAAACTTTAGAAATCAATAATAAGAACAATAGAAATCAAATACATGAAACCTAAGTAATATTCTCCTGAATGATTTCAGGGTTAAAGAAGAAATCAAGATGGAAATGATCTTTTTTTAAATTTATGAACATAAAACATACCAAAACTTATGGGGTACAGCAAAAACAATCTTTTGGTTTTGTTTGTTTGTTTTTACTTTGCCATAGGGCATGTGCGCTCATCAGAGATAGAGACAGGAAAAGTGAGAAATCACCTCCCAGGGGTGAGGGGTGGCCATGACACAGTCCCTTCTCCTCCAGGGAGAAAGGGACAAATGCCCAGTATGCTTTTCAGGCTACCAGGTCCAGGACTCTAACTGTGAGTAGACCATGTGGGATCCAGCTACCTTGAGTACCATGCCACCAGCTGTCCCCCAAAAGCAGTTCTTAGAGGGATAGTTATAGGCATAGGCACCTTAATAAAATAAACACTTAAAAACAAAACAAAATAAAACTAACGATCAACCTCAAGGAATTGTAAAACAAGAATAAACTAATCTCTGGAAGGAAAGAAGATAGAAAAATAAAATTGAGACTAAAACAAAAATCAATGAAACCAAAAGTTGTTTTTTAAGAGAAAATGGGCAAATCTTTACTTAAACTAATCACGAGAAAAAGAGAGAAGTCCTACGTAGATAAAATAAAAGACATTACAACTGATACTACAGAAATTAAAAAGATAATCAAAGACTATAAGTAGTTTTATACCAACAAACTGAAGAATCTTAATGAAACTGATAAATTTTTGGACACGTGAACTTATCAAGACTGAACCAGGGGGAACCAGCAGTTAGCGTAATGGCTATGTCGCTGGACTCCCACGTAGTCGACCACGGTTCGTGTCCCGGACCCGGTGACTTAAAACTCACGCCGGGCGCGTGTGCGTGTGTGCCCAAGATCCCGAGAGGAGAATGGAGGAGAAGGGATTGTGGCGTGACCATCCCCCCTGGGGGGTGATTTCTCGCTTTCTGTCTCTATGTCTCTCTCTGTCTGTCTGGCGAGCGCACGCACCCTACAGTGAAAATCTCTCAAAAAAAAAAAAAAAAAAAGACTGAACCAGGAAGAAATAGGACTACGAATAGACCACCTAATGAGATTGAATCGGTAATAAAATATCTGAAGGAAGAAAAGCCAAGAACCAGTTGCTTACACTGCTAAATTCCACAAAAACTTAAGAAAAAAGAGCCAATGTCAATTGTCTGTTCCGAAAAGTAACAGTGGAAACAACTCTCTCAAACTCATTCTATGAGGCAAGCATTATACTGATATCAAAATTAGACAAAAACTAAACTACAGACCAATATCCCTGCTGAATATAGATGCAAAAATCCTCAACAAAATGCTGGGAAATTGACTCCAACAACACATCAAAAAGATCACACACCATGACCCAGTGGTTTTATCCCAGGGATGCAAAGACAGTTCATTATACTCAAATCCGTAAATATAATACACAATATCAACAAAATAAAAGACAAAACTATCTGGTCATCTCAATAGATGCAGAAAAAGCATTTGACAAAATTTAACATCCCTTTATGATAAGGACATTCAACTAATTAAGTCTAGAAGTGGGGCCAGCAGGTGGTGTGGTGGTGAAGGCGCTGGACTGCCGCATGGCCGACCACAGTTTGAGTTCTGGACCCAGTGGCTTAAACATCATGCTGAATGCACATGCATGCATACCAAAAATCCCAAAAAGAGAATGGAGGTAAAAGGGATTGTGATGTGGCCATTCTCCCAAAGGATGATTTCTTGTTTTCTCTATGTCTCTCTCCAGTGAGAGCACAACGCATACAAAATAAATAAATTAATTAATTAATTTAAAAACACATTTTTTTTTTAGAGAAAAGAAGGACTGTAGACCAGTAGATGACATAATGGTTACATCGCTGGACTCCCTCATGGCCAACTGTGGTTCAAGTCCTGGATCTGGAGGCTTGAAACTTACACCAGGCTCGAGTCCCTGCATACACAAAATCCCGAGAGGAGAATGGAGGAAAAGAGATTGAGGGATGGCCATCCCCTTTGGTGTGATTTCTTGCTTTCTGTCTCTCAGTCTCACTCTGTCTCTCCAGTGAGTACATGTGTCCTACAGCAAAAATCTCTCTCTTAAAAAAAAGAGCAATCTGAACAGATAGTTCTTAAAGCAAGATATATTGTACAAATAAAACATACAGAAATATGCACACTACACTAATCATTAGGAAACTGCAAATCAAAGCCATAATGAGAAGGCTGTCTCCACAGCCTAGTGGTTAACAGACCCAGTTCTCACATGGCTGACAGGGTTCAGATCTCAGCCCACGTGGCTTGGAAAACACGCCAGGCAAGTGTGTGTATGCCCAGTACCAAGCAGGGTGGGTCAATGGGGAAGAGACTGTGGCACGGTCATACCCCATTGGGGGTTTATCCCTCTCTCTCTGTTTCTCTATATCTCTCTTTGGTGAGTGCACACATCTGGCAATTATGAAAAATATGATACCACAGCAGCCCAATAAGAATGACCACCACCAGGGACCAGCAGTTAGTGTAATGGCTATGTCGCTGGACTCCCACGTAGTTGACCGCGGTTTGCGTCCGGACCCGGTGGCTTAAAACTCATGCTGTGCATGTGTGCTTGCGTGCCCAAGATCCCGAGAGGAGAATGGAGGAGAAGGGATTGCGGTGTGGCCATCCCTCCTGGGGGGGGGGGGATTTCTCGCTTTCTGTCTCTCTGTCTCTCTCTGTCTTTCTGGCAAGTGCACGTGCCCTATAGCAAAAAACCTCTTTTATAAAAAAATGCTCAACATTCACTATCATAAGGGAGATGGAAATCAAAACCACAATGAGATACCACCTAGCTCCGGTTAGAATGGCTAAGATTAAAAAAAATGAAGAATGATAAGGTGCTGGCGAGGCCGTGGAGGAGAGGGACTCTCACACACTGTTGAGGGGAATGCAGATTAGTACAGTCACTGTGGAGGACAGTACGAAGATGCCCAAAGGCCTTCAAATAGAACTATGATAAGATCTCGTAATTTCACTCCTGGGTATCTACCCAAAGGACAGGAAGGCACTCAGTCAGAAAAGTGCTTGCAAGTTCATGTTTATTGTGGCATTATAGACCCTAACTGAGATTTGGAACCAACCGAAATGTCTGAAAACAGACAAATGGATTGAAAAAGTGTGGCATATACACACTACAGAATACTACTCAGCCATAAAAGAGAGAAAGAGAGAGAGAGAGAGATCCTGGCATTTGAAAAAAGTGGATGAATGAATTTAAATTTAAAGCCAATTTAAGTTCACATTTCACAATGTGGTCCACGTAGACATCATTGATGTATCTGTCTTTAGTGTGAAACCGATTGTAAATAAGAACCATAAGAAGCCTTCTGGAGAAAATTCTATTTTGTTTCGCATGTTGTAGAGCATATCCAGTGATGCTAAGATTCCTGTGCTATGCCCAGGACCGTCTCGAGCTTCCCGGACGGCCATACTGTACATCAGTGATGGTTTTTCCTTCTATTTGACAGCCCAGCTGCTCCCTAGAACCTTCCTCAGAGCCCCCAGCACCTCCTTGTTCCTCAGGCTGTAGATGAGGGGGTTCAGCATGGGGGTGAGGACGGTGTAGAAAACTGAGAGGCCCTGGTCCAACTCCGGGCTGTGGGCAGAGCCGGGGGTCATGTACACCACGATGGCTGGCCCCAGGTAGAGACTCACCACGGTCAGGTGAGATGAGCACGTGGCCAGGGCTTTGTTCCTCCCCTCAGGGGAGCTCATCCTCAGGACAGCGAGGAAGATGCGAGCGTAGGAGGCCACGATGAGGGACAGCGGCACAGTGATAAACATGATGCTCATCCCCATCAGCACCATGAGGTAGCTGGAAGTGTCCTCGCAGGACAGCATCAGGACAGCTGGCATCTCGCAGAAAAAGTGCTTGATCTTGTTCTCACAGGTTGGAAAGTGCATCGTGTAAACCGTCTGTGCCAAGGCATTGAGCATGCCTCCCGCCCAGGACCCCAGGGCCATCTGCAAGCAGACCCTGGGGCTCACGACAGCTGAGTACCGCAGAGGGTTGCACACAGCCACATAGCGATCGTAGGCCATGAGGGTCAGGAGGATGCACTCTGCATCTGCCAGCATCAGCCAGAAGAACATCTGTGTGCCACAGCCCACCCGTGATATCGTTCTGCTTCCAGAGAAGAAGTCGGTGGCCATCTTGGGAACCGTGCTGGACACATAGGCCAGGTCGATGAAGGACAGCTGGCTCAGGAGGAAGTACATGGGCGTGTGCAGCCGAGGGTCCACCCAGATCAGGAGGATCAGGATGGCGTTGGCTGCGATTGCAATGAGGTAGACCAGAAGGATGATGGACATGAGAGTGCGGGGGTGTCCATAACCAGGGAAGAGTCCCAGGAGGATGAAACCTTCTAGGAATGTTGCATTTTCTCTCTCCATACTTCCAGAATTCACGTGAACTAAGAAACATTGAGGGAAGCCAGTCAAAATCGGAAAAAACACTGAGGAAAGTCAGTCAAAATAGGAAATTCTGTAGTCTGATTCACCATCTAAAGACTCAATTTGGATTAAAGAAGTATGTTTTCTTTTTAATCAGATTTTGAGAAAATATTCAGCATCTTATTCTATTTATAGATTTGTCTCCATGTTCAGACATTCACAACCTGTGTTTAATTATGAAACTCAAGTTTCTCACTCTAACCTGTTGAGGATAGAGATAATCCAAGAAAACATAGGGTAGTGGAGGGCCATTGCCTGGTCGTGAGGAATAGAGACAGGCGCAGCTAGGGAAATTACAGAGATCATTTTGTGCATGTGTTCTATTTTATAGATAAAGCAGGGGAGTTACAGATAAGGTACGGCCAAGCAACAGTCCCACTCTTAGCTATTAGACCTCGGGATTGAACTAACCAGTCTCGTGGACCACTGACAATGCTTTCTGCTCACATAGGCAGCAAAGTTTACGTTAGATGTTAGTGAGACAACTTCTAAACTATTTACCATGGCTGTACGTATAGTTTTCCTTCCTGACAGTGCACGAGTGGGTAGGGATACACATCTCACTGTACAAGCAGTTTGAGTGTGCAATGAGCAGTGTTAATATTAGATAACGGAGTTGACAGACACACAGCCTGAACTTTTTAAAGATAATACATATCCCAGCTAAGTTCCCACTATTAGATATTTGAGGTCAGGACCATAATGATCAGTTTTCTGGACCACCGATCATATTTGTCACTAACATATGAAGAGCTTAATCAGACATTAGTGTGACAACTGCAAATGACTCTGAGGGGTTAAGGACCCAGCTCTCTTCCCAGAGCTCACTTGTTGGTATTACGAGTGTGCACATCTTCCACCCCCTGCCCATGAAATGTGGGAAGGTGTGCTTGAGAAAAGAGCGGACCGGAACACAACCCCTGGACTTTGTCCGAGAGCGTGAGGTGTACATTTATAACTGCCTCTCAGTGAGTGCTCGCTGTCCACATGTGCCCCATCTGGCTCACTGCAGCAGGAAACGGCAGGGTCTGGGTGCATTCCCTCAGCTGTGCAGTTTCAGCTTAGTGTGAACTAAACCCTAGATGCTCACTATGTGCTGTGTGTAGTAGGGTCACTTTCACGGGTTGGGAAGTTCTGATTATTTTCACCCTAATAAGGGTAAGAAGCTTAGTGGTTTTACCAGAAGGAAATGGTTGAAGCTTCTTCAGACAGCTCCGCTCTCGCTGCCCTAGCTTCGTTCCCGCTGCAGTTTCCGAGGGCAGCTTCTCCTACTCCCCCCACGTCGTGGGCATTACTCTCTGGATAACACCTGCCCACGCTCCAGCCTCCATGGTCTCAGTGTGTTCTGTATAATTGTGACAGCCACACGTGGTCCCACTGACTGAATGTCCATTTGACCGTCTCCACCACAACCTGTAAGATCTTTGGGAAAGGACACTTTCCTCGTGTCTTCCAGGACCTAACAGCACGTCTGGTTCAGAGAACGGATAGGAACGTTTACATCTATGTCTGTTGAAGATATTTTATAGTTTAATCAACTGGACTAGGGAGAAATGCTCACATATTGCAATATTCATTTTGTAAGCTAAATAATGTGATTGAATGTATAAAAAATGAAATAAAAAAGAAACAAAAAAAGGAGAACAAATACAAACAAGACAAACCCAATCCAGATCCTTTAAAAGCAAAAACCAAAAAAAAAAAATAAAAAATAAAAAAGAAAGTACAATGCTTTATTATGCAATGGGCTTTTTTGGGACCAGCAGATGGCATAGCAGTTATGTCGTTGGACTCCCACATGGGTAGCCACAGTTCGAGTCCCAGACCCAGAGACTTGAACACCCTGGGTGTGTACATGTGTGCCCAAAATCCAGAGGGGAGAATGGAGGAGAAGGGACTGTGGGGTGGCCATCCCCTCTTGTGGGTGATTTCTTGCTTTCTGCCTCTATCTCTCTGGAGAGTGCATGCACCCTAGAACAAAAAATATTTCTTAAAAAAAAAAAGAAAAAGGAGACAGCAACAGGCTTTTTATCTACACAATATAGCGCGGTGAGTACGTTCTTCATTTTATTTTTATCAAATTATTTTGTTGTTCCAACTAGAGGTGTTGAAATAGGGGTGGCTACACAATTTAATTCAAACCAGTACACTCCTGTAGTAAAGTTAGCTGGTCAGGAAAGAAATCATCTGCCTAAAACAGTTAAAATGATCAACTTCTTTATTTTGTAAAATCCCACTGACTTTAAACTATCCTGTGTCTCATGCCTATAATGAATGTTTTTGTTTTTCTGATTGTCGATATCCTGCAAGCACTCTACCATTTAATATATAAATTAGACTTTCTCATGCAATGGTTACCTTAAAATTCCATGTGTTCTCTGCAACCACTTTCTCTTCAAAATGGTGTGGTCTTCTTTCCCCTTAGAACCAGGCAGCTCTTTAACACATTATTTATAGCTGGAAGGCTAAAATTTGCTTGGTTCGCAGGTAGTCACACCTCCAGTCTCAGGTCACTGGAATCCATGGTGAACGTGGACATGTTTCTATCAGGACTTCAGGCTAGAAGTCGAAGTTAGTGATCAGAAACAGCTCGGAGAGTAAGACTTCGCCTCCTGGATAACTCAGGAACTTCAGGAGCCTGGGATCTTGGGAGTGTGTCCTGAGAGAACTTTGTCCCCAGACATTAATTATTTCTAGGTTCTGGCCTCCCTGCTGAGTATTTTAAATGTTTGGAAAGAAATATATTCTAGGATCTTAACTATTCCTAGGAAATGCTTTCTTCTTGGGGTCAAGTAGGGGTTGTTTCTTCTACTACAAAAAGCTTCTATAAAATATTTTTAAAATAAGCTCACAGATTAGGTTTGGAAATATAATTAGAAACTGTAAAATCAAATTCTTCTTTTTTATTTTTCTTTTATCTTTTTTCTTTCCTTCTTTTTCTTTTCTTTCTTTCTTTTTATTTTATTATTATTTTTTTTGTTGTTGCCAGGAGATGCATGTGTTCACCAGGGGGAGAAAGAGAGAGAGGAAGAGAGAGAGAGAGAGAGAGAGGGGAGAAGCACCTCTCTCATCGATCGGGCGTGGCTATGCCTCAACCTTTTCCATTTCTCCACCTTGTCAGGACCCCAGGCACCTACACGCACCTACCTGCTGTGTTTTTTTTTCATGCCACTGAGGCTAGGATTTCAGTTGCGGTCAGCCGTGTGGGATCTGGCCTGCTATACACAGCACTTAATAGCTGCACTACGGAGCTGACCCACTCAAAATTCGTAATGCGAAAATAATTTTAAGTACCTTCAAGATTAAGGGCGTTTTGGTCAGAGTTTAAAAAAAAAATTAGAATGAGAGCCCTTGGGTCTTTTTCTACTGAAGACATCAGAAATGTGTGTCTATCCAGTAAAGCGATTGCCAGAAAACTGGTGATGGAGCGCAAAGCTCGTCAGTGTGAGTGGCAGAGCATTCACCCCAAGCTGCACTGAACAGCATACCTCACTCTGGATGACCACACAGCTCCCAGCAGAGCTTTGATGGATCTTTGCTATGCGCGTGATGGCTGGTAGCTTGTGTCCTGTCAGATGTGCAAACACAGTGCTCCCTGCAGCCCTGCCCGAACGACTTTGGCTCTTTCCAAGAGAACTACCATATGATCCAGCAATTCCATTCTTGTGTATCTACCCAAAGGTCAGGAGAACGCTCAGTCAAAAAAGCACTTGCACATCTATATTCATTGCAGCATTATTCACAATTGCTAAGACATGGAACCAACCCAAATGTCCACAAACAGATGAATGGCCTGAAAAATTGTGGCACATATACTCCATGGAATACTACTCAGCCATTAAAAAAAACACAAAAAACAAAACCAGAAACAACAAGGCCCTGGAATTTGATAGAAAGTGGACGAATATGGAAGATTTATTGCTGAGTGAGCAAGTCAGGCTATGAAAGAGAGACATTATATGTCTCCACTTAACATACATCGACTAAGAGAGACATTATATGTCTCCACTTAACATACACTGACTGTCTGCACTCTATGGTAGAGACTGAAAGACTGGAGAACATGACAGTATTAAAAATTGTAATGGACACTAGAGATAAAGGGGAAAGAGAGTGTGAGGGGAAGAGCGCAAGGAAGGAAATTTGGGGAAAAAGCAGAGGGGTAAGACACTTGTGGGACAGAGATACGGTTTATTTTTTGTTGATGAGGATTTGTATAGGATTCTCAACTGGGCTGAACTGAAGTGTATATCATGCTGGGAAAAGTCTCTTTAAAGTCTAAATGATGTATAGTGATTAAATGTATAAATAATAATAATAAGTTAAATAAATTTAAAAAATAAAATAAAAAGAATAAACACTCAAATTCTCACCAAAGAATAATTAATTACTTTCAGCATTTTGTCAGGTTCTCTCTCTACCTAGGCTCTCTGATGTCTATAGTGCGTGCCTCTGTCACTGTGAAATCTGTGTTCCCTACGAACTCACACAGCAGGGCGGACTCAGGCCTGCAGGCCCACACTCTTCCTCACTCCCTCACATCCTTGGCACAGCCTTGGGCATGGGTCACCACTTCATTGCTCTATTTGCACATTCTATTGTCTATGCATTTATTTAGAAATATAAAGCAAAATAGAATGTGTAAACGCAGTTCAGTATAGCCGTCAATGCTGTGGGAGCGTGTGAGCATGCACCTATGCGTTGACTTAATTTTATGTTTTAGACAGCAGAGCAGGCAGTTTCTGTGACCAGCTCTTGGTCCCCAGCTGGATGAAAGCTCCCCGCTCTCTCTCTGCAGCTGGGCTCCAGCCCTCCTCAGTGCGCTGGATGCTGTCCTGTGGTCGCAGAGGTCAAGCCCAGGCAATTCACATGGACGTGCTAGGGGGACATTTTGGCAGCATTTGCGTGTGGTCAAGAAAATGAAGGGGGCAAGAAGAGAATGAGCCCATGGGCACCAGGAAGAGGTGTCACGAGGTCACTGTGGCCACCTGTCACCGAGCTGCTAAGAACTCATGCAGGATGGATAGGCACAATGGCAGCTGACGGCCCCTCCGGCGAAGAATGGGGGTGAGAGCAGGTGAGTGCCCGCACCCAGGCTGGTTCTGAGAAGGGAGCAGGAGATGGTGTGGTAGCCCGGTCACCCCCGAGGACTCAGAGGACTCCTGAGTTTAGTTCCTATTTTCAGTGATGGCAGCAATAGGACGTCCTGGTGAAAAAGGAGAATTCGATCCCACGGGGGGAGGGGAGCCTTCTGACCATTCCCCAGCTGCATTCTTGCTGCTCAGCTGGAGGGATAAAATCTCCCTGGCTTCTGTGGCCATTCCTGCCTCCAGCTGGTCACTGCTAGCCCCTTTCCCAGAACCTTTCTATGCTCACTCCAGTGTCCGCTCCAGGTGCCCGCACGTTCTCCGACCTGGGCTCCTCCCTGCCTGGCTTTGCTCCTGCACTCGGAGGAACAGGCTCCGATCCCCATGGGGCGCCCCTCTGCCGGCTCACTCCCAGACACAGGCACAGAGAGGTCTCCCCCATCACGCACATAAGCGGCCCCCACTCTCCTATAAGCAGTGTCACCTTTCCTTACACTATTCAATGTGCTGACTTCTTACAGCGATTATTAACAGGGGCAGAGCATGTGCTCCCTGAGGCCAGACGTCTTTCTCTGCTCCACTCACCGCTGCGAGCCAAGTGCCATCGGCAGTGACTGGGACATGTTGGGCATACAGACACTCATTGGACGTGACTGGACGAATGAGCGAAAGCCACGTGCCGACCAGCTGGAAGGAGAGAACGTTTATGCCGTTCGTCACGTCCACTTACGAAGGCAGAGCCCGTGTCTGCCAGGCCCAGAAGAAACTGAACACCTGGGCTGCTCTTAAAGAGAAGGATTAGTCGGGAGCAGCAGAGAAGAGCTCAAGATAGAGTATGGGTTTAAAGACAAAGAATATGTAAGACCATGTGTCAAGTCCACAAACTGCAGCTAACTTCTTAAGCAAGCCGTGTGTCAAAGAACGATTTCAACATGGTCATGTGAGTTAAACTCTCTTATAATAATTTCACTTGGTAAAAATACCAGATTAACAACAACATAAAAGATACACTTGAGGTAAACAGCAAAGCACACACAAAATAAAATTTTTTAAATCTTAAAATTAAAAAATGAGGGACCAGCAGATGGCATAACAGTTATGTCGCTAGACTCCCACATTCGAGTCCTGGACCTGGTGGCTTATAACTCACTCTATGTGCGTGCCCAAAATCCCAAGCGGAGACTGGAGCCTGTGTGCGTGTCCAAAATCCCAAGAGGAGAATGGAGAAGAAGGAATTGTGGAGTGGCCATCCCCGCTGGGGAGTGATTTCTCAATTTCTGTCTCTCTCTGTCTCTCTATGGCAAGCACACATGCCCTATAGCAAAAATATCTTTTAAAAAAATGAAAAAGTAAAAGATGAAAAATAATGAAAGTCAGGGGACCAGCAGTTAGCGTAATGGCTATGTCGCTGGACTCCCATGTAGTCGACCGCGGTTCGCGTCCCGGACCCGGTGACTTAAAACTCATGCGTGCCCAAGATCCCAAGATGAGAATGGAGGAGAAGGGATTGCTGCGGCATGGCCATCCCCCCGGGGGGTGATTTTTCGCTTTCTGTCTCTCTATCTCTCTCTGTCTGGTGAGTGCATGTGCCCTATAGCAAAAAAACCTCTCCCCCCCCAAAAAATAATAATAATGAAAGCCAGGAAGCAACATGCATAGGCAATTTAGCTGAGTGAATCTGAATTGCCTGCAAAACTCACTCTAATTTGTCAAGAGTGAGGAAAAAAAAAAAAAAAAAAAAATGGGACCACCAGTTGGCATAATGGCCATATCACTGGACTCCCATGTAATCAACCGTGGTTCGAGTCCCAGACCTGGTGGCTTAAGCTCACACCAGGCATGTGAGCGTGTGTGCCCAAGATCCCAAGAGGAGAATGGAGGAGAAGGGATTGTGGCGTGGCCATCCCCTGGGTGATGATTTCTTGCTTTCTGTCTCTCTGTCTCTCTGTGAGCGCACATGCCCTATAGCTAAAACCTCAAAAACAAAACAAACAAACAAACAAAAAAACCCAACAATAACAAAAAATAAAAACAAAAACAAAAACAAAAAAACAACAGGTACAGAAGACCTCACTTGGTATGCAAAGCAGTGTGTATGGGTTGACCAGGGGAATTGAATCCATGTCTTCAAGATGGAGCCAGTTTTGGTTCAACAGTACATTAATATTATCCCAGTGAACTGGTCCTCTTTTTTGTTCGTTTTGTTTTTAAATATGTTTGAACCGATACATAACGAATGTAGATATTTGTGACGATTGGTGTGATTTTGCAATACATACATGCACTCATGATGACTCAGTCAAGTCAATAAACACATCCACCATCTCAGGCACTCATTATCACTCTGAGCTGTGGGCACTGAAGATGTCCTCTTCCAGCTGTTCTGACATATACATTGAATTGTCACAGACAGTGGCTGGCCTGTGTGCAGAGGGACAGTGGCTGCCCTGTGTGCAGTGGTTCTCTGGAATTCATCCCACTTCTCTACCTGTAATTCCGTGTTTGTTAACCAAGCCCTTCCCATTCTGCTGACCCACCTCCTCTTCCCGCCTCTGGCATCTGCTGTTCTCTTCTCTTTTTTCTATGCAATCAGATCTTTTAGCTTTTGCTAGAAACATGCCCTATTTGTCTTTCAGTGTCTGGGTGTATCCCTTACCATAATTCCTTCCATGTTCCTTAATGGTGCTGTGGATGAAAGGATTTCTTTTTCTTTCTTTCTCTCTCTCTTGCTCTTTATTTATTTTTGAGAGAGAGAAAAAGAGAGAGAGAGAGAGAGAGAGAGAGAGGAAGAGAAAAAGAGAGAAGCATGTGTTTTAAACCAGGTCTCGTGTGTCACCATCCTCTTGCCCCACCTCCCAGTAACCAGTGTTATAGATGGGCACTGACCTCCACCTGTTGAGAATGGTCCAGGAGCCACACTGGGCCACCCAGTACAGCCCCATCCACGCAGGTGCCCCTGTTGCCTGTGTTACTGCACCTGGGCATCACTCTTTTATGACAAAATAGAAAAACATTCTATTGTGAATGGTTACATCTTCTTTCTTTACATTTATTTATTTCCAGAGAGAGAAAAAGAGAGCCACTCCCAACAGAGCCTTCTTGGGACACTCCACCTATCAGCTGTGTGGCCAGCGCTCACCTCCACCAACCTCATACTTAAGTTTCAAACAACAAGATCCTGGCTTTTGACAGAAATTGGGCGAATATGAAAGCTTTTCTGCTGAGTGAAGCAAGCCAGGTTATGAAGGAGAGACATTGTATGTCTCCACTTAATATGTACCATGTTTCCACACTTTATAGCCAAAACTGAATGACTAGAGGATATAGAAACATAGAAAATGGTTATAAATACCAGATACAGTGTGGGAAGAGTGTGGGTGAAGGAGGAGAGTCTGAGGAAGCACGTTAAGGAGAAAAATAGAGACAAGACATTTATGGAATAAAGAAATAGGCTATTATCTGTTGAAGATAATGTGTATATAGTATTCTCAACTGGACTGGTGAGAAATGTATACATGTTGGAATATTCACTTTGCAAGGTAAGTAACATATGTGATTAAATGTATAAAAGAAATGGAAATAAAAAATATATTTAAAAAAAAGAGAAAAAAAGAAAATCCAAGTGAATCCATGAAAACAATCCTAAAACTTATAAATTTGGAAAAGTAGCATGATATAAAAATCAATATACAAAAATTTATAGCATTTTCATACATCTGTGGAGAGCGGCCATTCTGAACAAACATGGTGATCTTCAGACACATGAAGAAACAGTGGTTCTATGAGCTTCATTTGCATGGCTATAAAAGCAATTAACATATGAACATGCTACTTATGTGCTGTCATGGATACTGCAAAGTAGTATCAGGTGAAAGGAAGTCACACGTGTTTATCAGAATCAGCCCAAAAAGATCAGAGAAATCACATGGTGCCAGTCATTCTCATTTCATTCAGCCGATTAATATCTGAAAACAACTGGCTTTGCATTCCATTTCCTCTTCCCCTATTTTACTTCTTTTTTTTTTTCTTTTTTTGGAGAAGTTTTCGCTATAGGGCACGTGCACTCACCAGACAGACAGAGAGAGACAGAGACAGAAAGTGAGAAATCATCCCCCAGGGGGGATGGCCACGCCACAATCCCTTCTCCTCCATTCTCCTCCTGGGATCTTGGGCATGCACACACATGCTCCCGGCGTGAGTTTTAAGCCACCGGGTCCGGGACGTGAACCGCGGTCAACTATGTGGGAGTCCAACAACATAGCCATTACACTAACTGCTGGTTCCCAAGCCCTACTTAAATTAATTTACATATTCATCAAATTACTGAGGACTTTCTTCACAGAAATAAATAAAAGAGTCTTAGAATTTGTCTGGAATCATAAAAGACTTGGTATTGCTACAGTACTATTGTGCAAAAAGAATAAAATACAAGGCATCTCCCTTCCTCACTTCAAAATATATTACATAGTGGTGCTAATCAAAACAGCATGGTACTGGCACAAAAATAGATATACAAAACAATGGAACAGAATAGAGAATCCAGAAAGAACCCCCAAATCATACAGCTGACTATTATTTGACAAAGGCAACAAGACCACACAGTGGGGAAAAAGTATTTTCAGCAAATGGTGCTGGAAGAACTGGATATCCACCTGCATAAAAATTAAACTGGGTCCTTATCTTTCACCATTAGCAAAAATCAACTAAAAATGGATTAAAGATTTAAATAAAAAGCCTCAAAGTATGAAACTATTGGTAGAAAACTTAGGAGAATCTCTTGAAGACATTGGAGTAGGCAAAGATTTCTTTTCTTTCTTTTTTTTTTTATGGAGAGGTTTTTGGCATAGGGCGAGTGTGCTCACCAGACAGACAGAGAGAGACAGAGAGACAGAAAGCAAGAAATCACCCCACAGGGGGGATGACCATGCCACAATCCCTTCTCAACCATTCTCCTCTTGGGATCTTGGGCACGCATGCACACATTCCTGGCGTGAGTTTTAAGCCACCAGGTGCGGGACACGAACTGTGGACGACCACATAGGAGTCCAGCCACATAGCCATTATGCTAACTGCTGGTCCCGGCAAAGATTTCTTGAGCAAGACCCTAAGGCACAAGCAATAATCCCAAAAATAGACAAGTGGAATTACATCAAGCTAAAAAGCTTCTTCACAGTAAAGGAAACAATAACTAGCATGAAGAGACAACCTCAGAATGGGATAAAATATTTACAAACTATGTTTCAGACAAGGCATTGTTAGAGTATATAGCAAACTCAAGCAGCTTGCCCATAAGAAAACCTAATAATCCAGTAAAAAAACGGGCAAATGAACTGAACAGACAACTCTCCAAAGAAGACACACCAATAGCCAAAATGTATATGAAAGAATATTCAACGTCCCTTATCATAAAGGAAATGCAGATTGAAACTACAATGAGATACCGCTTAATCCCAGGCAGAATGGCTATGATCAAAAAACACGAAGACAAATGTTGGTGAAAAGGGAACTCTCTTGCACTGTTGGTGGAAATGTAAATTAGTACAAACACTGAGGAAAACAATATGGAGATTCCTCTAAAACCTACTAGTACTACCCTACAACTCAGTAACTCCACTCCTTGGTATTTATACAAATAACATGAAGGTAGAGAGACAGGTGCTCATCCATGTTTATTGCAGCATTATTACAATTGCTAAGACATAGAGCCAACCTACGTGCCCAAGATCTGATGACTGGATTTGAAAACTGTAGCACATATATACTATGGAATACTACTCAGCTATGAGGAAAAATGAAATCCAATCATTTGATTCAAAGTGAATGAATATAGAAGATTTAATTCTAAGCAAGTAAGCCAGCTTCTGAAAGACACACTGGATATCCCCACTCAATATATACCAAATGTCTGTGCTCTGTGGTAAAAATGGAAAGATCTGAAGATATGATAGTAGAGAGAATAAATTTAGATACCACAGAGTGTAACAGAGGGGAGTAGATGGCAGAGGGTGAGTAGGAGGGGCAAAGGGAAGAAACTTTTAACAGAAAAAATAATGCAAAGTTCTCTGCTGAAAATTATGTATATGGTAATATCCTTGATTTACTGTCATGTATTGCATGCATATGCAACACGTTGAAAAATTATATTGTGTACTATAGAGTTGCACAATGGTGGAATCTAAATTTTCTTAAAGTTATAGTTACATTAAAAATTAAAAAGAGGGAAATTCTCTATAAACACAAGATGCTCTCATACTTCCTTTAATTATTTAAGGTCCATGACAGATCTGGCTTCAATATTTTGCTCAATAAAATAGGTTGCTTATTTTGATTCCTTTTCTTTATTTCCTTCTTAATCTACTGCAGCCATATTTATGTATTGTTATTGCACTACTATATCCTATACCATAATTTTGTGTCATAAAATTATTTTTCTAGTATACAAGGCTTTAATGCATTTATTTTTCTCCATTTTTAATTTCAAGCAAAGAGTACAACATTTGTGGATTTTAAATAAAATTTAGTTAATACTATTAAGTCAGTGCCCACTAACAATAAGACAATCTTCTAGGATTAAGAACAAAAGGAGACATGAAGCAGAACCCTGGGTGTCCTTAGCTTAAAATCTCACTGCTGTCCAGGATGGCAAAAGTCCAAGAGTGCAATGTAGATACAATAAGCAAACGGGTTGGGTCAGTGGAAAAATCTTGAGTAAGGAAGGGGGGAAATACTGGTGTTCACTGGGGGCACAAAAAAGAGAGGCAAGATTTAGCTCTGACCTCAGAAAAGGGAAATTTTAGATGAGAAGATAAAGGACATGATTCTAGGCAGTGAAAATAGAGTAGGTCCTGGAAAAAGAAAAGAAGGAAATAAATAAGAGATACGTAAAAGGGAAAAAAGTCAGTAACTTGTTTAATGAATGTATAGGATTAATGATAAGTCAAAGAAAATTCCAAGGTAGGTCTCTAGAGAAATTATACTGGAACTGACCAAAAAATAAAAATAAAAAACAGAAAAAAACTTTCAGAGTATGTAGCTGATACCAGGCTGAAAACTGATTATAGTCTAGGGAGACAATTCCTCTAGGACACTTCCTGGGCATTGCCAGCCTTAATGCACAATTGGCGTGGCTGCAGGGCTGAGTTGTGAAGGCAGCTCTGGTTCACCAGCTGCTCTTCCCTGAGCCCTAGCTTTGGGGAATTAGAGAGATCCCAGCTCTGCTCACAGCCCATCAGGCTGAGGAGAAATAGGAACATTGGCATCTATCAAGCCGGCTCCGTTATCTATCTTTTCCCACTGAAATCATTTAACTTTTTTTCCCCTGTCTGATCAGTATGAGCAGATGAAGCTTTGATTATTTTATACTCTTCAGGAAGTTGTAATGACTGGGCACAAATTATAAGGCGAGTGTCTGGGTAGGGAGTAATGGAAATGCCCTAGTTTCTGAAAACCCATTTATAATGCTAGTGCTATGATCACTTGCCAATAGGACTTAGGAGGCTCAGTCCTGGTAAACAGATACTGGAGCAGGAGTAGAAGAGAAGCCAGGGCCTGCGTGATCAAAGGCGGTGCCCTTTCTCAGTGCCGTGTCTCCAGTGGACTTGAGAATGCTGAATCTCCTCCCATGTAGCTCACTGGACAAAACACGGAAAGTGCTCTGAAGCCAGTGAAGGACCAAAAGTCCACACAAAGTAGTGCCTTTAGGTGGAAATGCAACGTCCGTGATGGGAGCCCTGTCACCGAGACCCTAGATCCAGCCTCTGCAGGCAGAGTCCACTGGGCTGGCCATGGGTTTAACTCACTTTCCCTGCAGGCTCTATTTGTCAAGTGACATGCTGGAGGGAAAGGTGGAACTCCACTACCACTGCTCCTGCCATCATAAATCTCATGGATTAGCAGGTGAGACACTTGTTGATACATATAATCACAAAGGTGATGTTTAGGTCACAGTCTAAGCTGTTA